GCGCGGTGGGCGGGACGGCGCTCGGCTGTCCCAGCGCTGCGGCTCCCCGGTACCGTGATCTGCGCCTTTGCTGGTCTCAGGAGGCACCTGCGAGCCGCACGCCGAGGGCCTGCCAGGCTGCCCCTTTTGCACCCCCGGCCTGGTGGGTGGAAGTGGGGTCTCCGGGCGGGTAGGCTCCGGGTGGGGGCGTGGAGACCGAGGGTCGAACCGGCTGGGAGGTAAGATACGCCTCTCCTCTTTGGAAAGACTCCTCTCCTCCCGGAGTCCCAAAGACTGGGGACAGAAATCGGGGTCCGCGAGCCCTGGGACCTGGCCCAGGGACGCCTCTTGCAGAATGCGTTCGGGTAGCTCGCGGAGCTGGGAAGAGCTCTAGGGCGGTGAGCGGGAGTGACAGTAGAGAAGGCAGAACCCTCCCCACGCAGCCTGGCTTTCTTTCCCCATCTTCCCTGTTTCAGTCATTACGTGCTGTCTGATATGCCCCTGGCCCAAGTTCTGCTCTAGTTTGTATCGGTTCTCTTGAGTCTGGAGCGTGACACTGGAAGTTAGTGAGTCCTGGGTGAACTTGCACAGCTGTTCATTCTCTAGGTTTCAGTTATATCCTCTGTGTGGGGTGGGGCTGGTTCTCTGGTGACCTGTCAGTAACTGCCCATCTCTCCCTTGGGCGTGGCCTGCTCTGAAATAGACTGCTCATTTAGACTTGGTTTAGCTTGGGAATAGCTGAGTGACTGGGCAGTTACCTCCCCTTTCTGGTTTCCACACTAGTAAAATTGGGCCCCTGTCATTTGAGTTTGAGGCCGTCTTTGGCCACTGAAATATTTGCACCCCACCAACTCCCTCTCATTCTTCTGTGCTTGTTTTACAAGTTTAAAATACCTTGAGTGCAGGGAGTTTTATCTTACTACTATATTCCCAGCTCTAAAACAGGGACTAGAGCAGTGATGGCGAACCTTTTGAGCTCGGCGTGTCAGCATTTTGAAAAACCCTAACTTAACTCTGGTGCCGTGTCACATATAGAAATTTTTTGATATTTGCAACCATAGTAAAACAAAGATTTATATTTTGATATTTATTTTATATATTTAAATGCCATTTAACAAAGAAAAATCAACCAAAAAAATGAGTTTGCGTGTCACCTCTGACATGCGTGTCATAGGTTCGCCATCACTGGCCTAGAACATGGGAGGTAATCAACAAATAACTGCGGAATGTTGCCTGAATAGGAATAGGTGTTGGCTTATGTGCCTATGGTACCACAGTGAATGAGGGCATCCCTTTTACCCCAAGACCGTCCTGCCTCCCTTCCTGCCCTGTGTCCCTTCCTTTCTGATGACAGAGTCAGGGAAGGAGGGAAACACCAGAAGTTTCACATCCCCTCTACTGCTTGGACCCCCTTGACCAGTTACTCTCCTGGGAGGCCAGGATAAAGAAGGTGGGGGGGTGAGAAGGAATGACACTGACCAGCCCCACCTTCCCCAGGTGCCTCACCCAGTCCTCCCCCACTGGAGCAGGGAGGTGACCTTATTTTTATTTTATAGTGAGGAAGCTGAGGCTCAGAGAGGCTGAGCAGTTTGCCTGATGTTCCACAGCTGGGAAGAGCCAGGGCTCTAGCTCAGAGGTCCAGACACTGAGCCCTGTGCTCTAAGTCTCCCTCCACTGCTGACATTTATCTTGCTTCTTCCTGCCTCCTATCCCACGGTCTTCATTGTGTCTGCTGGTCACAGGCCCTGGTCTAGGCCCTGGGGCTCCGGGGCTTCCCGATGTTGGGTTCTTGGTATTTGGAAGCTATGTCATGTCAGGGGGAGTTCAGTTCACCTCATTCTATTTATACAACACCATGCTCAGGTCTCACCTCCTTTCTCTATTACTCTCCTAGCTCCAGGGTCTTGGATATGGGCCTTTTGCAGTTCCTAGTCTTCCTGTTTGTCCTGCTAGTGTCTGGAACAGGAGTCACTGACACTCAGAGGACCTCCGTGGACCCGAGCCTGGAGATCTGTATCCTTTGGGGTTGGAGGTGGAGTTAATGTGCTATGCCTGGGGCACTTTCTAGGGATGGGTGAGGCCCAGCTGATGGGAATAGGAGAGAAAAGGTAAGATACTCTCATCAAACCTTGATTGAGTCCACTGCCTTCTGAGCCTCAGTTTCCCTATTATGTTAAACAGAGAAGGCAATTTACATCTCTCAGAGCCACAAGGACTCTGAGAATAGTACATATGTGCCTAGTACCTTGTGGGTGAGACCCTGGGCAGGGACTCAGGCCCTGGCATTCTGGGCCACCTACTCTGGGTTCAGGACTTGGGGACACAAAGATGAGTCAGTCCCTGGCTTTGAGGCCTTCACAGGCCTCACATTGTACTTTGTGATCACTGCTGAGATGGAACAGGAGAGAAACACTGCTGGCTTTTGAGCGAGGTCTTGAAAGAACAAAAGCTCGTAGGCGCCCTAGCCATGTGACTCAGTTGGAGTCACCTGTATACCAAAAGTGTGCAGGTTCGATTCCCAGTCAGGGCACATACCTAGGTTGTGGGTTCGATCCCTGGGTGTTTATAGGAGGTAGCCGATTGATGTTTCACTCACACATTGATGTTCTCTGTCTCTCTCTCTCTCCCTTCCTCTCTCTAAAATCAATAAAAACATATACTTAGGTAAGGATTAAAAAAATAGCCCTGACCAGTTTGGCTCAGTGGATAGAGCGTCGGCCTGCGGACTGAGGGGTCCCAGGTTCGATTCCAGTCAAGGGCATGCACCTTGGTTGCGAGCACATCCCCAGTGGGAGGTGTTCAGGAGGCAGCTGATCGATGTTTCTCTCTCATCGATGTTTCTAACTCTCTATCCCTCTCCCTTCCTCTCTGTGAAAAATCAATAAAATATAGTTTAAAAAAATAAAAATAAAAAAATAAACTCATAGAGAAGGGTTGGGGAGTATCCCAGGCAGAGTGTACAGTGTGAGCAGAGGAGCGCAGGTTCCTGAGACAGTGACTAGTTGTTGGAGATGGTGGGAAGACCATGGGGAAGGAGTACAGGAGCTAGGTCCTGAAGGGTTGTGTTCAGGCTCTTGGGTGTAGTATCCTCTGTACACTGGACAAATGATACATTATAGGATGCAAACGCTTCTCAGTTTGTTACTTCTCTGGTAGGGAGAGCCTCAGACCTGGGCATCTGTGGCCTTTGCAGATATTTGCTGGTCAGGAATGGGCCTTCTGGGTTGGGGCCACTGGATTATCCGGAAGTATCAGTGCCAGCTCCTTAACTTAACACTGCCCAGACAAGAAGATGTTTGAGGTGAAGCGACGGGAGCAGCTGTTGGCATTGAAAAACCTGGTACAGCTGAATGATGTCCACCAGCAGTACAAGATCCTTGATGTCATGCTCAAGGGGCTCTTTAAGGTGCATGCAGGCGCGGGGCAGCTCGTGGAAGCCTAGTCTTTGATCTGGGCACTGAGGGATGAGTAGGAGTTCCTTAACGGAATGGTGTTCAATTAGAGGGAGCTATGGGCACAAAAGATTTGAAGTTGGGTTTAAGTAAACTGGGGTGTGGCTGGGCGGTGAAGGCCTCTGCAAAGCCACTCAGCCAGTGGGGGTTCCCTCAGGTGCTGGAGGACTCCCGGACAGTGCTCCTTGCTGCGGATGTGCTCCCAGATGGGCCCTTCCCCCAGGATGAGAAACTGAAGGATGGTATGGTCTTCCTGACCTCTCCCACTCCTCCCCACCACCTTGATCTTCTCTAGTTGTTTCTTCCCTCCTGTTTTTGTCATGCTTTTTTCTCTCTGGAAACACCCTCTTGTGGCACCTTCCAAGTGTCCACCTTTGGTGGATAAGCACTTAGTATATGGTTTTCCAAGAATTTCTGGGCTTCAGAGCCAATTTCTGTGTCCCTGACACAAATGTATTCCTTTGTGCTGTCCTGTGCTTGGAGCACGGGAACCAGGGAGGAAGCTCTGCCCACTACCACTTGGGGGATCCTTGCCTTCTCCACCCCTGACCCTTCTAATAGAGAAGGCAAGGGTGTTCGCATTTACAGGAGAAAAAATAAGCCTACTGAAGTGTCTGGACAGTAGGGGCAGCTGCCCACACTCCTTACTACTGTTCTAAAAGCCTCAACCTTCTTAAATCCTTTTTGAGACTAGGTGGGACAAACATCCTATATAATAAAGAGCTAATATGGTAATTAGACTGGACAGCGGAACGACCTTCCAGAGTGACCAGTGGGCCGACCAGTGGGCAGGGGGTGCGGCCGCGAGGCAGCCGGGGCTGCGAGAGCCTAGGCAGCCAGGGCGTGAGGGCCGAGTCCCTTGCATGAATTTCATGCATCGGGCCTCTAGACATAAATAAGGTAAAAGACTATTCTGTGTCCCTTCATTCCCTCTTCCAAGAATTTCTTTCCGGTGATAATTTTCTCATGAACTGATGGCATTTTAGCAATAAAACCTCTTCGATTACACTAAGAGAGGATGGAAGTGGCCTTTACATATTGAATGGTGGGCACTTTTTCAAATAGCATCTCTCATCTCCACTGTAACTGAGGAAGTTACACATATAACTTGGCTCTTAGCCTTAAGTCAAGCTTACTCCTGAGTGCAAGATGGTTTGAAGCCCAGGGGTCTGTTCCCACTTGGCTCAGACCCAGCTGGGCCTGTCTTTGGAGGAGTCAGCTTATCTCTGCGCGTGGCCTGGCCAGTGGTGCTGAGGGCTGCCTGGGCCTCATCTGCGGGCACTGGAACAGGAGCTGCCGCCAGGGCTGGGTCTACACTTACTCTTCATGCTGGCCTGGGTCGGGGGACCTGCCATCATGGTGGACACTAAATTCAGTCTAACTGACCTGTTGATGAGAGGAAGGATATTAGTGGGGAAATTGATGAAATTCAAATAAGGTCTATGGATGTATTGTATTGATGTTAACTTCCTGGTGTAGATAGTTGTACAGTGGTTATGTCAGACTAGAGGCCCGGTGCATGATGCATATGCCTCCTTGTGCAGAATGACACCCACGTCTCTGGTCCCCACAGCAAATGAGTCTTCTAAGCCACGAGATACGGGGGAAAGAGCAGGGCCTCTGCAGTCAGACAGAGCTGGTTTACAGCCCAGATTTGCCACTCACTTTCTCCCCGGGTAAAATGGGAACGGCCACCACATCTCCCTCTAACGGTGGTTTGAGGATTCAGGATTTGGTGGACACAAAGCCCTTAGCACAATTGTCCGTCCTCTGCTTACTGGGCTTGGTGGGCTTGCCTCCATTGTCTGGGAGTGTCGGGGCTGGCCGGGAGGGCAGTGGAAGGGCATCTGCCCTGCGCTCTCATCAGGTCCCTCTCACCAGCTTTCTCCCAAGTGTTGGAGAACACGGCCTTCTTCGGCGACGTGGTGCTGCGCTTCCCGCGGATCGTGCACCACTACTTTGACCACAACTCCAACTGGAACCTCCTCATCCGCTGGGGCATCAGCTTCTGCAACCAGTCGGGCGTCTTTGACCAGGGGCCCCACTCGCCCATCCTCAGCCTGGTAAGGACTGGGGCGGGGACAGCCCGGAGCCCTGTCTCCCAGTGTCCTCTGAGCCTCGCAGCTACCTGCAGCTGGGCCTGAATGTCTGCGTTTTCTGTGATAAGCCTCAAGGCATCTTGAGGTGCCATCTCAAGGGGTTCTATGCTGACCTGGGTCCCTATGGGTCATCACCTGGCCCACAGTCTTGGGCCCTGGGTTCCAATGTGGAGGCAGTGGCTCAGGTGAGCAAGAGGCAGGAGAAGGCAGAGGATGACTAACTTTTCCTCATCTGCAGATGGCCCAGGAGCTGGGGATCAGCGAGAAAGACTCTGATTTCCAGAATCCATTTAAAGTAGACCACACAGAGGTGAGCTCTGGGGGCTTGTGGCCATGTCTGTTCTGCTTCTGCTGGGCTACAGGAAGCCAGGTCCTGCAGGGGTTGGGGTGCCTGCGGTGGAGTGTGAGGGCTTTGGACTTGGAGACAGACATACCCAGGTCTGGGTCCAGGAGCCATCACTCACTCACTGGTGCCTTTGGGCAAGCCATTGCCCTTGTCTTAGCCTCAGGCTGCCTGTCTGTTCATGGTGCACACCACCTATGGGGGCAGTCAGAGGCTGTGAGCACACCCTTCCCAGTGGACAGTAGGCACCCACATCAGGTGGATGTGAGGGCAGCCAGGGAGTGTCAAGTCATGCTCTTCTCTGTCCTTAAACCTCTAATCACCCAGCCAAGCTTCTATCCTACATTCCTGTACATGTGGCCATTCTAGGGGGCTGAGGTGGACTCTCAGGGCTGAGGCTGTGGGTAGGATGACAGATGGGGACACATACAGGAGAGGAGAGGAGGGGATCAGAGGGGGCCAGAAGGATAGGAAAGAAGGGCTGGCGGACTGGACTCCTCAAATCACAGGCTGGCCCCTGCTCTAAGGAGGGGAAGGGGGTCAGGATCGGTGGGCTCTCAGATTTTATACCCTGCTTGCAGGGTAACAAGCTAGCCTGCCACTGTTGCACGGATACCGACAGGTCAGAGGCATCAGAGTTTACAGCAAAAGCAGTTCTAGACCAGCGGTTCTCAACCTGTGGGTCGTGACCCCTTTGGGGGTCGAACGACCCTTTCACAGGGGTCACCTAAGACCATCGGAAAACACCTATATAATTACATATTGTTTTTGTGATTAATCACTATGCTTTAATTATGTTCAATTTGTAACCATGAAATTGGGGGTCACCACAACATGAGGAACTGTATTAAAGGGTCACGGTATTAGGAAGGTTGAGAACCACTGGTCTAGACTGTTGGACTGGTCATGTTGGTTCCCTGAGTCCCACAGGAGTGACACAGAGGGGCTCGGGTGGATGCCACACAGGCAGTGGGTTTGAAGAATACTAAGCTTGGAAAATTTACTGATTTATAGTGAACAGAAATAAACCCACTCTTCGTTTTGGGGGAGACATCACCTCATCCTTCAAGGTTCGCTGCAGGCACAATCCTGAGAAATGGCCCAGGTACAGAGTGGTCGGGGCTTTGCGTTCTTGGTGTATCCAGCAAGAACACGCAGGGACTCTCAGGCCACGTAGATTGCCTCCTCTGCAGGCCGTCCCTCAGCCCTACGTGTCTTGGCTTAACTCAGACTCCACGAATGTACTATTCAATCTATTAATCTGACTGATAGGGGCTAGAACCATATTTGTTCAATTTGTCTCAGACTGCATTTAATTAAGGCTGCCATCAACAGGACTAAGCCACAGGATGAGGCCAGCCTGAGTATTGGTCTCAGCCGTGTGCTTCAGGATCCTGGACTCAGCCGGCTGTGATCAGTTTTGGGGAGACCAGTAGGTCTTGTTTTAGACAATTGGATGTGGCCAATCTGTTATTCATTACCACCCACATAAGAGTTTACTGACCTGCTGATCTTTGATGTTATTGCCAGTAATTTTAAGGGCAGTAGATGGACCCCACAGCTACCCTCATCCCTAGTGGAGAGATACTCCGTGGCCCACTGTCTCCCACATTATACTGGATTTGGGTCACCATTACATTCTTTGGCCGAATCCTAAGTGTCACTGTGGAGTTGCAGCCTCAGTTGCCCCACATGATAGAACCCCAGGCCACTCGGGCATCAGGAGAAGAAGATGGATTTGTATCTGTCAGATTGAAACAAGGTTGTACTGGCATGAGTGTCTGCACAGGGTCACTTCGGGAGCTGCCTTTGATGGCATCAGGCACACAGAATAGTTCAGTAATCACGTGGTTGAGAATGATGCGTCCAGCAGCTGGTCAGATTGTCATCTGCAGCTGCCACTTGGCTTGGGCAGACTCTAGGATTGTTTTGCCAAGTGGCAGTGCTGGACATAAGGCACAAAAAGGATTGATTATTCCCTGTGTCTCTTGGGATCTAAGGCATTTTCTTCCTAGACTCTGGGATTATTGCTACAAGATCAGCATGTCATATCCCAGGACCTATAATGTCTCTTTGTCACTGATCATCTCTTACTTTCACCTAGATCTTTGTCCAGAAGGGTCAGATGTGAATGGGACAAGGACATTTTTACAAAATTTTCAGAGGCATATCATATCCCCATGGGCCACTGTGGGGGCAGTTGGCAAGGACATACTCAACCAATTGGTCATTATCCTAATGATCTTGGGCCATACTCTTCCAACCTGGGACTCCGGATAGCCAAACCAGAAATACAGAGTGGGTTTTGTGCCATCAATGGCGGCAGGTGTGTGGCTTCGTCTAGTACGAAAATGCATTCAAGTGGAAATGACTCCCATCTGGGTAGACTGGATCCGCGGTTTGGTTCTGGTCAGTCTCCTCAGAGAAAGGGCCTTCCTATGGGTATCTAAGCGAGTGACCCAGACTGTCCAGTTTTCAGCCACAATTTGTTTCCACAGTTCATGGCCCCGAAGATGGGTGGCCATCTCATCCACTCGTCTGTAGTCTTCTGAGTGGTAGCCCAGAAGACTGTGACATGCTTGGTCATTAGGAGTATCATCCAGCAAAGGTGGCGGCGGCTTTTAATTCAGATCATTGTCTGACTGGCCTTTGTGGCAGCTAGTCTTTCGTTGTTGTCACTGGAGCTGATGGCTGCTGTCACCCATAGACAGCTGTGTCAGGGGTCCCCCAAACCTCCCCCAGGTTAATGATTCCCTAGGGCTCAGTGTATGGCCATGCTCACAGCCATGATCTGTTAGAAAGACTGGCATGTCTGCTTGTTGATGGGAACGACCCATTAGGGAGGAGGGACTAATGGTGCGGGGGTAGGAGAGTTGCTCCATTGCCAGGCAGCACTTGAGTTTAGTGTCAGGAATCTAAAGTAGCTTTAGCCAGGCCTCGTGGGAAAGGGATCCAGGAAAGGGTGGGCAGTGTTTCCCTTCTGCTCCAACTAGGTTTGGGTCCCTGGTGAGGCTGAGCCATTGAGGATGAAGGGCCAGGATCCCTTGACCGGCCAGCTCATCTCCCCCAAGAGGACCAGAAAATTAACTTGTAAGGACAGGAGGTAGAGTGCGGTCAGGCAGCACTGTTCATGAGGACAGCGACACTAGAAGGGGACTGGGTTTTGAGGAGATGCAGCCATGCCAAGTTGGGGGCACATTTGGGACATCCCAGTGGAGGTGCCAGGAAGGCTCTTAGATATGGAGGTGCACATTTGAGGGGTAACTGGCCATATAGACATAACCGAAGCCATGGGTTTGGAGAGAGTAGAGGGAGAAAAGTGCCCCCAATCAAAGTCCTCCTCCTCCTCCTCCTCCTCCTCCCCCTCCCCCTCCCATCCCTGTTCACCCTGTGTTCCCGTTTCCTCACCGGCACCACCATCCACCATCTATGAAGCCATGAGCCTGGGCACTATTGTCTTCTCTTTCTCCCACCCCTTTCCAGGGTCTGTCAGTTTGACCTCTGATCCACCTGCTTCCTGTGCACTCCCTTGCCGAGACAGGATGCCTGCTGTCTCTTATTCTCGCTGGCTGCTCTCCCCTCCTCCTCAGGGGTATGGCAGCCAGGGCGTGGGGGGTGGTCTGCGGTTGTCGGGCACTCGGCCCCTCACTCTGGGAGGATTCTGTTTATTGTTTCTCTGATGCCCGTGCTTGTTCACACCGTGGTGCTTGTCCCTGTGCCCGGAATGTCCTCCTCCCCTCACCCTCTTTGCTGTCAGCCTCTTGGTTATCTTTCAACCCACTTAGCCTTGTCCCCAAGCCCATTTAACCATCTCCATGTCGTTGGCTCCCTGAGGGCAGGGCCTGCATCTGAGCAACCCTCCTGCCCCCCGCAGTGCCCTAGCTCGGAGTAAACTGCTGCCAGTGGACTGAGTCAGACCACTCTGCTCTTCTCCCAGTTCATTTCTAGCACCGACCCTTTCCAGAAGGCCCTGAGAGAAGAGGAGAAACGTTGGAAAAAAGAGGAGAAGCGGAAAGAGATCCGAAAAGGCCCGCGGATTTCGCGATCCCGGTCCGAGTTATAGCCCCGTTGCAGCCCATGGTTCAAGGGGCCAGGAGGAAGAGGAGGAGGCGGCATGGCCAAGGTGAAGCAGTGCCGTCTGGTTGGGGGTGAGAGTCGGCACCTGTGAGAGGGGAGGCCATGTTTGCTTGGCCCCCGGAAGCCGGCTTTGAGCCCAGCTGCAGGGACTGGGCTGCGGAGGGCTTGGGTTTCCTCCCAGGGCCTCCCTGGAGGGAGCGTTGAGGGGACCCTGTGCTGCAAACACAACTTTGGAGGTGCTGGGGGAGGTAGGAGAGGTGCAGGACTGGACCCTCCCTGTGGTTAGTACTGATGCTCGGCTGGCTGCTGCTCTCCCTGGGGAGGCAGCAGAACCGGGGTCTGAGCCACATGTGGAGGTGCCACGCCTGCTGCTGGCTGGACTGTGTCACTGAGCCACACGGCACAAGGTCCAGCCCCCTGCGAAACACAATAAAAATCGGCAAACCCTCTGGGAAAATCACAGCTGGTTTTGGCCCTAGGAAGCTGTGAGGCCTTTTCCAGGCAGGGGGCGCGGGGCCTGGCTTGGGGAACCAGAGGCCCTGTGCGGTGTAGAGAGCACCTTAGAGGATGTTCCGCTTCATCAGGGAGCCCCAGGCTCTGGCGGGCAGCAAAGTAGGGCTTGGCTTAGGCCTCCGAATCCCTTCTCTGCACTGTCCTTGACGAAGGGTCAGTGTTGGAAAGGGACTGGAAGACGAAGGGTCAGTGTTGGAAAGGGACTGGAAGTGTCCTGGGTGGGTGTTTATCCACGGTGACCTTGGAGTAACATGATCTCTATCCTCAGCTAACTGGGGACAGCCATAGAGCAAGCACAGGAAAGAGTCAGCTGTCCTTTCTGGCAATGCGGCGAGACCCTCAGCCTGTGGGCTGCAGCTCTGCAGAAGACTGCATTGTCATGGCAGGGCTGTCCCAAGCTGGATGAGACAGGCAGTGAGCTCTCTGGCTCAGGAGGTGTACGAGCGGAGACCCATGGTCACCACCAGGCAGGGAAGCTGCAGGGGCCTGAGCGAGCAGCTGCCCTTCAGTTGTGCTCTGCCCAGGCAGATAGGGAGGAGCTCTGGTGGGATTTCCAGCTCTGTCTCTTCGACCTTGCAAAGCCAGGGTCTACTTCTTAAAAGGAGAGACACATAACCACCCCAGAACCTACCGCCACCACCACCAACAGAGCCCAAGGGAGACCTGAGTCTTGTCTTAGCCCATCAGGCTTGCTGAGTGACCCTGGTCCACCCCTCCTCTGTTCTGTAGCTTCACTGGCAAAGTGAATATGATAACATCTGAACGGCTTCTCCAAGGCTGGGACCTGGCCTCTCAATGACGGGTGTCCTTCTCTGATGGTTCTTCATTCGTCCCATAGATTTGCTGAGCACCCACTGTAAGCCCAGCCACAGAGAGGGGTCCAGTCTTACCTATCCTCACCTCTGCCCCATCTGGTACCTTCATCCTCCTGGGCTCTTCCTTCTACATCTTCGGCCTCTCTCCATCTTGGTTGATCTCTTCCTCTCCATCTTCAAATGGTTCCAGGTTTTCCCATCTGACACCTTCAGAGAAACAAACAGAACTGCCCTGCTTTCCCCTCTCCTTCCCTTTGCTGCACTGTGGATTGTGGTCACTTGTTCCTGGAATTCCACCTTGAGTCATACTGTAGGCAGAGCCTGTCCGCGCCCCTGCTGGAGCTGCAGAGGCCCTAAGATACTCGTTTGTCCAGCCTCCTTGTAGCTAGCATTCAGTTAGTGACTGATGTGCCACTAACCAGATGCACCGTGTGAGTGTGGTGGTGGAAACAGTGGCCCACAGGGTCAGGGGGATTCCTCGTGGCCAGACCAGCTCCCAGGGTGCCTGCTGGTGGCAACAGCGATGTCTTCATTGGTGCGTTCAGCATGGTCTTGGACGTCGTTCCTGTCTGTTGAGCTTCCAGACACGATCTGTGACACCCGTGGAAAATCTGGGTGCTCCCAGTATCCCCTAAGACAGGGCTCCTCAGCAGTGGCACTGTTCACATTCGGGACCAGATAATTGTTTGTTGTGCAGAGGTCTGTGTATGTGAGATATTTAGCAGCATTCTTGGCCTCTACTTACTAGGTGTCTGTAGTCATCTCCCAGTTATGACAACCAAAATGTCCCAGACATTGTCCCCTGGGGGCAAAACCTCCCTGGCCACATCCCTTCCTCCTCCTTATCTCAGCCCCACATCTTCCTGTGCTGTCCCATCGCTGCCGGGAATGCTGTTAATGGTTCCTGAGGACCCTCCCAGGCCTCGGGGCCTCTGTGTTGTCCTTGTTTTCTGCTCTTGGTCTGCATCTGCTCTGTCTCTTCCCGACTTCTCTTTCCTCACCTGCGCCCTGAATAAAGAGTTTACTGGCTTAGTCTCTCCTTCCTTCTCCTTGACAGCTGCATCCTCTAAGACAGGGATAGGGAACCTTTTTTCTGCCAAGGGATATTTATAACATCATTCTCCAGCCATATAAAATTATCAACTTAAAAATTAGCCTGCTGCCCTAGCCGGGTTTACTCAGTGGTTAGAGCATCGGCCCTCAGACTGAAGGATCCTGGGCACATACCTCAGTTTCTCGCTCGATCCCTGGCCCCGCTTGGGATGCTTGGGAAGTGTGGGAGGCAGCCAGTCAATGTGCCTCTCACATTGATGTCTCTCTCTGTCACTCTCCCCCACCCCCCACTCCCTCTAAAAATCAATGGAGAAAATATCCTCGGGGTGAGGATTAACAACAGCAAAAAATTAGCCAGGTATATTTGGTCAAACATTTAATTAACTCACCCCCAGTGCCTTGGCAGGGCCAGACCAAATGATTACTAGTAGACCCGCAAGCTGGATGTTCCCCACTCCTGCTCTAAGACCACAAAGCTGATGGCACTTGCCCTGTTGTCACCTGATAAGCCTCAATCCTTATGTTTCAACTTACCCAAAACCAAATGTTATTTTCCACCCTGAAGCCTACCTCTGTGTTAAACCATGAGATACGTGCTTTTGCTTAATCCTGGAGGAAAGGATACATGAACTGAATCCTAAAAGATGGGGGGAGGAGAGAGAAGGAGACTGACACTGACAGAGGCCTACAAGGGGAGGCATCAGAAGCAGTAAATGATAAAACATGCCAAGTTCTCTTCTATGACCCGTCTGTGGTGGGTGTCTGGACATAATGATCATCTGGTCCAATCCCTTCCTTTTCACATGAAGAATGCAGGTCCTGAGGAGTGACTTGTCTGAGGCTGCTCTACCCCTGGAGCCAGCTTCGGTTCTCCCCGCCAAGGCAGGGTGCCAGCGGGAAGAGCTGTTAGGTTAGGTGAGAAGCCAGGGTCGGAGGGAGAATGTCAGTGTTCGTTGCTAAGGCTGGGTCCAGTGCCACCACCTTTCTTCTACAGTTTTTACTGAGCCTTCATTTGTGCTCCCTCAGGCTACTTTGCTAGGAACCAGGGCCTCTGGGCAGGTTGTGTCCACCTACTTAACCTGATGCCCCTACAGCAAGCATGTCAAACTCATGGCTCACCGGCCGCAAGTCTGACATGCTGTTCTACAACCTCCTGTGGGGGTTTCTGAGGGAATGAGAGGGCACTGGACCAAATTGAGTCATAGGGTAGGCCAGCAGATGGTTTCCCTCCCTCTCATCCCCCCACAGTAGGGGGAGCCCTGGGAGAGCCACTAAGAGGTGCAGTTGAAGGTCACATTGTCCAGCTCAGTGCCTGGTCCAGAACTGGGCAGCAGGGTCTGGTTTCCTGTTTCAGGGGGAGACCGGAGACTGGTATAATCAATACCAACTCTAGTCTGTAAACAATGAGAACATTCCTGTCTTTCCCCCCCAAAAATAAGACTATTTATGTTATACAATTCATTATAAAAAAAAAAGCATACTGAAATATCAAGAAGACAGTAAACTTTACCCTAAACTCACCATTCCCATAACCATGACTGACAGTCAGCCATTGGACCTTGCATACATTTGCCCTTCGTGTGAGCGCGTAGATCCCTGTTCTTTTCAATTACAGTAGCTACTCTGTGGGCACTTAATACATGCCAGGCTATGCCACATGCTGGCTGGCAGCAGCTTCTGCTGCCTCGGGGTCCTTGTCCATATTGTGTGTTGCTCCAGCTACACCAACACCATCTGCAGGTCTCTCTTCATTGTGTTAAGTTTTGTCGTAAATGTGGGCGGCTTTCCTGACATCCCAGGTCAGATCCCTGGTTAGGTTCATCACACCCTGTTACTTTTCTTTGATCGCTTGTGCTATTTATTGTCTGGGTTTTTTTGTTTGTTTGTTTAACAGTTGTTCACTAGACTGGCAGCTCTCAGAAGACAGGAACTATTTCTGTTTGCCTGCCACAGAGGTGTTCAATAAATATTATCAAAGACTGCAGATGATCCCGTTTAATCCTCACTACTATGAGGGGGACACGATTCCCATTTTAGAGATGGCAAAACTAAGGCTTGGACAGTTACACTGCCTGAGGGCACACTGTGTAAGTGGGCCCATAGGTCTGCCTCCACACGGCCTGTGTGCTCATAAATCTTGAGCAACAGCTGCCTCTCGCTTATAGGGAATATACTTTTGCCCTTTAACAATATATTGCAAAAGGCTGTCAGTAGGTATACAGTTATCTATGTAATTTTTAAAAAAATATATTTTATTGATTTTTTTACAGAAAGGAAGGGAGGAGAGGAATAGAGAGTTAGAAACATCGATGAGAGAGAAACATCAATTCAGCTGCTTCCTGCACACCCCTCACTGGGGATGTGCCTGCAACCAAGGTACATGCCCTTGACCGGAATCGAACCCGGGACCCTACAGTCCGCAGGCCGACGCTCTATCCACTGAGCAAACCGGTCAGGGCTATCTATGTCATGTTTAGTGATGCATGGTATTCCATTGTGTGGATGTAATTATTCACCCAGCCCCTTATTAGGCTTCCCAATTCCCTAGTTAGACTTCGGGGTGGAAGTCTTTAAACACACACACTTGCGGACTTCTTTGAGCACTGGTACTCCATTCCTTAGGATAAACTAGAATTTGCAGTTGTTTACGTAACCAGCTGCAAGATGGAGCGGTGGGTGCTTGAAGGAGTGGGAATCTGTGGGTGGCTGTACGTCAGAATTCCTGCGGAATTTTGTCAAAATGCTCACGCCGCCCCGCCTCGCGAGGCTCGTGGTAGCCCGGGCACTGGCATTGCTTTAAAGGTCTGCAAGCGCCGCAGGCCGACGGTCTGTGTGTGTGTGCGCGCGCGCGCGTGTGTCTGTGTGTGTGTCTCTGTGTGTGTGTCGTGTGTCTGTGTGTGTGTGTGCGCGCGCGCGCGCGCTTCGATAACCAGAGGAAGAAGCGCGTGTTTGCGGCAGGTGCGAAGGCGCAGAGGTTTTGGACAATTTAAGGTCCACGCCGACCCTCCGTTTCCTTTTTATAAGGGGCGTGGGAGGAACGCGGTTTGAATGGTCTCCATACTCCTCAGGGGCCCCGGTTTGATTC